TGTCATAAATTCCTAACTTGGCAATCCAGAGCCTTAAGACTGTGAGGAGCTATAAATACCATCCAGCCCCATCCCCTCGTCCAGTAATCCCATCTCCCACTCAGCACTCCACCAAGAGGCCAGTTACTATGATGGAAAGACTCCACTGGCAGCACATTTCTAAAGGCTTTTCATCTCTGAGCTTAGCATACTTGGTTCATAAAAACACTGGATCCTGGGTTCCATCTGAATATATTCTGGTGGTCTGGTCCATGTAAATGTAGTGCTCAAAGCCAGACACAGTACTGCAGTGTAGTGTGGGCAGCACGGTAGGCGCAGACCATGACCCAGGCATCTGGCAGGGACCCAGCTCATAGTGGCTGGTTGCTTTTTCATATTTCTTACATGAGTTCCAGGAACCACATTTTTACCAGTTCTCTTGGTAGAGACACTTTCATTCCATACCCATTGAGCTTGTCCACAAGGACATCAAAAAATACCGGCCCCATGGCGCAGCAGTTAAGTGCGCACCTTGTGCTTCGGCGGCCCGGGGTTTTCCAGTTCGGATCCCAGGTGCGGACATGGCACTGCTTGACACACCATGCTGTGGTAGGTGTCCCACATACAAAGTAGAGGAAGGTGGGCACAGATGTTAGCTCAGGGCCAGTCCTCCTCAGCGAAAAGAGGAGGATTGGCAGTAGTTAGCTCAGGGCTAACCTTCCTCAAAAAAAAAAAAAAAAAGCTATTTATGGGGCTGGCCCTGTGGCACAGCAGTTAAGTGTGCATGTTCCACTTTGGCGGCCCAGGGTTCGCTGGTTCGGATCCCGGGTGCAGACATGGCACCGCTTGGCATGCCATGCTGTGGTAGGTGTCCCACATATAAAGTAGAGGAAGATGGGCACGGATGTTAACTCAGGGCCAGTCTTCCTCAGCAAAAAGAGGAGGATTGGCGGCAGATGTTACGTCAGGGCTAATCTTCCTCAAAAAAAAAAAAAAGCTATTTAATGGGTGGTTACTACAGGCCAGACACAAGTGCCTTCCGTTCACTAGCTTGTGTGACACCCTCAGAGCCCTGCATCCTCACACCTAGCACAGAGCCTGGCTCACTGTAAGTACTCAGTATTTGTTGAGTGAATAAACCCTGTGCTGAAGTCAGGAATCCCAGAGGAAGTCTGCTGGGTGGGTTTCAAGACAGTTAGTCTCCTGAGCCATTGCCCTTGATCACTGACACCACCTCCCACTCAGTGCCTCTCTTCAGAATTCCTTCATGCTTGCGAGCTGAACCCCACTGCCGCACAGCCTCCTGATCACCTTGGAGTAGAAGCTAGAGATGGGTGCCACCAAGGCTCTGAAACAGCACGCTGCAGTCTCCTATGAAGGGCACCCTGCCCACCCAGGCTTGCGGGCAGATCACCCCCTCAGGCCCTAGTCTTCCTGCTGCTTCTATTGTAGCCATAGGTCCAGGCTACATAGGTCCAGGTTGTTCCTCAGGTACTAGGATGGCAAGGGCTTTCGAGCAAATAGGTCTCACCCCTAACTTCAACCAGGACAGCATGACTGTTATCTACTGTGTGTTTGGGGGCTCTGCAAAAAAAAAAATTCACTTAAAAAGAAGGCTCTGATGCTATCAAAAAATAATTCGGAAACCACTGTGTTGTGTAGAAAGGTGGAATTTCTTACAGATAGTTTCACGGGCTTTAGTAGACTAGTTAGGGTCCACTTCTAGCCTACTAACGAAACTGGGTAACAACCAGGTTAAATTCCAGTTTCCCACAAAGTCCCATACTCCCTGGAGAATGAAAACATTCAGTTTCTAGTTCACTGTACAGGATTTTCTCTAAAATGAATTTGCCCCAAATATTGAGACTTTGCTTCTTAATGGCATACTATGAGGAATTTTTTTTTTTTTTTGAGGAAGATTAGCCCTGAGCTAACATCTGCTGCTCATCTTCCTCTTTTTGCTGAGGAAGACTGGCCCTGAGCTAACATCCATGCCCATCTTCCTCTACTTTATATGTGGGACACCTACCACAGCATAGCTTGCCGAGTGGTGCCATGTCTGCACCCGGAATCCGAACCGGTGAACCCTGGGCCGCCGAAGTGGAAATGTGTACACTTAACCGCTGCCCACCGGACCAGCCCCTATGAGGAATATTCTTAACCCTTGATACATTGTGCTAAGACACTGCAAATGCTTGAAGGGGAACACACACATAGAATTGCCCCTCTCCCCACCCACAAGGCTGTGTGGGTTGAGCAAACAACAGTGGTTGTCTTGGGACTTGGTTCCTTGGTAATAGCTGTCCCTGAGACTTGGGGGAGAGTGTGCCCAGAGCCTGTCACCCATGCACACTCCAAGTAAGCACGTTATGCTTGGTGGCAGAGGAGCTGCTGTTTTCTGACAAGTGGAGAAAATGGTCTTCCTTGCTCGGTGAGTGGTCTCTTAAGATCCAACCATAGCCAAGTCCACATTTGTCACTTCTAGAGCCAAGCCAGTCCTTTGGTGGTGGGCACAGGACATTTCTCTCACACCCAAGTTAAGACCTGCCCTCCTATTTGGGAGCAGAGGCAAGAAAGAGCCCAGGAGCAGTGTGGAGGCCAGGCACCCCCGGTCCAAGGAGGCATCTCCCATTTACTGGGTGGCGCTGGGCCAGGTAAGAGCCTGTCATCTCCAAGTCACAGCAGTCCTCCAGTGAAGGGCACTACCTACTTATTCACATGAAACCAGTATCAGCAAGTAGGTGGTGGTTGGCCAACATTCGAACCCACCTGAACCAAGTCTCCTCTTTGTACTGGCCTGCTTGAGTTTCCTGTGACCTCTAGTGAAAAGTGAGAGTGAATTATGGGACTGGGTTGGAAGTGTCACGTCTCTCTGGACCCTTGTGTTTTAGGTTCCAGTGTGTGTTCCGGGTGCTGACACAGTGCCTCAGCCCAGAGACACCCCTGCCTAGTGTGCTGCTGACTGTTGAGCTCCTCTGCCTCCTGGTGGACCACGAGAAGCTCTTGCCTCAGCTCTGCTCCCACTCAGGTAAGCAGGGCAGGGCACAGGTGTCTGGACTGTTCCTGCAGGCTAGAGGGAAGGGTGGAGGCAGAGACAGGTCAGGGGCCTCCTGAGGGCTTCTGCAGCTTGTACCCTGGGCTCTGGGTGAGAACGGGGACACTGAGTGAGAGGTGGGGCGTTCTTTTCAGAAGGCTGCCTCCTCCTGCTGCTATACATGTACATCACGTCAAGGCCTGACAAAGCGGCTTCGGAGACACAGTGGCTTCAACTGGAACAAGAGGTAAAAATACCAGCGCCCCTTCCGTGGACTGCTTACCACCCCATCCTACTCTAAGAGCCACTTTTCCTCCTTCCTCTGGGGAGAAAGGGAGCTTAATTCATTTTGGTAACAAGAGTTTGGCCACTAATAAAGTAAGTGGGGGCTTGCTTGTTTGGGGGCTCCACACTGCACAGATGCAATACAGTCGGACCCCAGGGTGTCCCGAGACTTGGTAAAGTTGCCCAATAACTGTTCCTACGCAGCTTTGGGCCCTGACGGCTGGAGGTGGGCCTGGAGGCAGGTGGGTCATTGGTGAGACACAGGTGTGGGTCCCGAGTCTAGCCTAAGAAGGCACCACAGCACCACCTCTGGGACCCCATTTGGGCAGACAAGAAGTTGCTAAGGCAACTGGAGCTCTTGTAGGAGAAGCATGAAACAGCCCTCACTGTGATCAGGGTCTTATTCTGCTACGGATGGAACAGAGACTGTTCTTGTTCTAGGCCGTGTGGCTCCTGGCTAAGCTTGGTGTGCAGAGCCCCTCCTCCCCGGTCACTGGCTCCAACTGCCAGTGCAACGTGGAGGTGAGTGCCTAGGGGCAGGCAGGGCCGACAGCGTGGCCACTCTGTTGGGGGTAAGGTGCAGGGATCCCATGCTCCTTCTAACCCTGGTGCCACCATTCAGAACCCATCTCACCGGGGGTGGCTAGGAAAGGTGCTGCCCAGCTGAGCAAGTTGTTAGGGTGCAGGAGCCGCGAAACCTGACCTCAGTCTGTGCCCTCCCCCAGGTGGTGAGAGCGCTGACAGTGATGCTGCACAGACAGTGGCTGACAGTGCGGAGGACAGGGGGGCCTCCAAGGACTGACCAGCAGAAGCGGACAGTGCGGTGTCTGCGGGACACAGTGCTGCTGCTGCACAGCCTGTCCCAGAAAGACAAGCTCTTCAGTGTGCACTGTGTGGAGGTCCTGCATCAGTATGACCAGGTGATGCCAGGGGTCAGCATGCTGATTCGAGGGCTTCCTGACGTGACAGACTGTGAAGGTGAGCTGGCAGGAGGACCCCTCCCTGCCCCAGCCCTCACGTGGGCTTTTTCCTCAAGTTTGTTGACAAGTCAGACTTCCCCACCTTACGTCAGCAGTCCTCCATCCACCACGGCCTTTGCCAGCACTGGGGTCATTCTTGTCTTCCTACTCTGGTTCTTCTCTGAGCATATCAGGCTGCCTTTTGCTTACATCTGTTGCGTCGGCCTGGCAGAGCCACGGTTTTTCCAGAAACATCCCTGTCTGAATTGCCTTTGTATCACTTTGCTTGCAGTAACTGAGGGAGCAAGGCCTGGGCGTGGAAGGGACTGGTTAGTTCCTGCGGGCATGGGGGGCGGAGAGGTAGGACCTCCCCCAGTCTCCAGCAACTTCAGGTCCTCACCAGGGGACCCTCTTCTTTTTTGGCTCAGAGGCAGCCTTGGATGACCTCTGTGCCGCCGAACCTGACGTGGATGACCCTGAGATGGACTGTGGCTGAGGCCGGTGAGCATCGAGCCACATGGTGGCACCAGCACCACTACTTTCCTCACCTCATCAACTGATTAAAAGCAGTGACCGACTGTGTGAGAACAGGCCAGCCTTGTGTTTCCTGAGTCCGATCGGTGTTGGCTGAGTGGGAGGGACAGAGCAGGAGGGGGACCCGGGAAGGCTTGGATCTTTCTTCCTGTCCTTGGCTGGAGCTGGGACTCGGTCCCCATGGTAACAAATCTGCTTTGAGGAAGGAGCCCTGCCCTGCCTGTGGAATTGTCCTGAGTCATCCCTTTGGGCTGAGGCCATGGGAAGAAACCATTGTGTCACTAGGAGGCAGCCCTCAGTCCGGGCCTAAACAAGGGAGGCCTGGGAAAGTGGGGCCGAGGGGTGGCTGCAAAATGGCCACGGCAGGTCTGAGTCCTGGAGCTAGTCTTCCTCGATAGCCTGGGCTCCACTGCCCTTGTCCTCCCGGCTGGCTCACTCACTGGTATGAGGGTTTCTGGTGCAGTGTGCCCACCAGCAGGCCCACAGCTAAAGATCTGAGAAGGCCTTCGGGGAGTCAAGAGGTGGGAGGGTTGGGGGGGGGGGGGTAGTGCCTGGGGAAGGATGGGTGTTGGCAAGAGAGGGACAAACCAGGCAGGCTGACAGCAGGGCGGGCCTTGCTCACGCCAGCCCGTGGGCGGGCTCAGGCTGGGTTTCACTTCCCGCCACTGCTGCCAGCAGCAAGAATCAGCCAGAAAGTGTGTGCCCCGCCTGAGCCATTGCTGCCTGCCTGCTACTCGGTAAGTGGGGACCCCCCAAGGGGATAGGGTAGCTTCCCTTATCCCCACCCCACTCCTGCCAGACTAAGTGGGCACTAGGGGAGGAGCCAAACCTTCCCCCAGACAGACAGCTGAGCATGCTGAGTCCCACCATCTCTGGCTTCCTGCCCTGAAAATGGGTTGCAGTGCCTGCCTGTGCAGGGAAGGGCCCCCCCACCCCACCCCACCTGCCTTAGATCTTATCACTGGGGCACTCACATACCGACCCTACCCCATGCTCCTTCCCAGGCTCAGCGGCAGGTACCCACCATGGGCTCACAGGGCCTACTCCCAGGTCCTGTGCAGACCCTCATCTTCTTGGACCTGGAAGCCACTGGCCTGCCCTTCTCCCAGCCCAAGGTCACAGAACTCTGCCTGCTGGCCGTCCACAGATGTGCCCTAGAGAGCTCTCCCAACCCTCACGGGCCTCCTCCCACAGTGCCCCCACCACCCCGTGTGGTGGACAAGCTCTCCTTGTGCGTGGCCCCAGGGAAGGCCTGTAGCCCTGCAGCCAGTGACATCACAGGCCTGAGCACAGGTATGCTGACAGCGCATGGGCGTCAACGCTTCGATGCCGACCTGGTCAACCTGCTCCGAGCCTTTCTGCAGCGCCAGCCGAAGCCCTGGTGCCTCGTGGCACACAATGGTGACCGCTATGACTTCCCCCTGCTCCAGGCAGAGCTGGCTGTGCTGGGCCTTACCAGTGCTCTGGACGGCGCCTTCTGTGTGGATAGCATTGCTGCCCTGAAGGCCCTAGAGCAAGCGGGCAGCCCCTCGGAGCATGGCCCAAGGAAGAGCTACAGCCTGGGAAGCATCTACACACGCCTATACGGGAAGGCCCCCCCGGACTCACACACAGCCGAGGGTGACGTGCTAGCTCTGCTCAGCATCTGTCAGTGGAGGCCACGGGCCCTGCTGCAGTGGGTGGATGCTCACGCCAGGCCCTTCAGCACCGTCAAGCCGATGTATGGGGTCACAGCCTCTACTGGAACCAACCTAAGGCCATCTGCTGCCACAGCCACTGTACCCCTGGCCAGAGCCAGGGACACCAGTCCCAACCTTGATGGGGGCAGGAGGCCCAAGGCCCTTCCTCCAATGAAAGGCCTTGGAGCCCCACCTGGAGAGGGACTGTTGGCTCCACTGGGCCTTCTGGCCTTCCTGACCTTGGCAGTAGCCACACTGTATGGGCTGTCTCTGGTCACACCTGGGCAGTAGGCCGAGAAGGAAAGTCTGGCTAATAAAGCTCCCCACAGCATTGAGTGGTCACTCGCCTCTACCCGCCTTAGCAGCCTTAGAGCCTCCTGCACCTCTGCCCATATTCAGGGACCTGGGGAGGGGGCCCAGAGAGTGACACAGTCTTTGTCCCTCACCCAGCCTAGCAGGATGGTCAGATGTCTGAGCTCAGTAAGAGGGAAAACATGGAAATCCAAGTGTTGGTACCTGGCCTAATGCCTAGTCCCAGCAGCCAAGGCTCTGAAGAAAGAAGGCAGCAGCTCCAAATGTTTGCATTTATTATAAACAAAGGTGCAGACCCTAGACTCTCAAAAACACGCCAACAAGTACAAAGCTAAGACATCTGCTGAGACGTTAACAGTGGGACAGGGGACACCGAGGTATTCGTGTCTGAGCGAGAGCAGCCACCCAGGGCCCCCTCCACCTTTGGTCCAGACCACCTGTTGGCCCAGGTGTCCCCACTGCCAGGACAAAGTGTTGACTAGGGTACAGGAGCTGGATATTCCGTGAGGCTGGTGTCAGGGGAAGCAGGGACTACCAGAGATCAGATGGCCCCTCTCCTCTGGGGGCCAATTTCCCTCCAGGACCCAGAGCTCTCAGCCTCACAGCAACTATCACATACATTTTGAAACAGAAAACAGGCAAAATGTTTGGCTAAAAGTAAACAAAATCACTGCAGGAAGGACACCTGAGTGTGTAAGTGGATTGAGGCCACCTTGCCCACCTGAGGTGGGGAACAGGGCCAGCAAGGGAAGCCAGAACTGTGGGTGGATGTGGCCCTCCAGGTGGTCCAGGGAGGAGGCAGGGCAGTCCGGGAAGACACAATTAGGGGTGGGTGCAGCTCTGCCCGAGTTGTTTTGCTATTGGGACGCTGCCCACCCTCCCCTGGGCATGGCACAGGCTCCAGGGAGCGATGAAATATCTGCCAAAAGGACGGAAACCCAATGTAACCAGGTGCCCAGCCTCATCCACTCACCTGCATCATGGCTCTGGTTCTTCCATGGGTACCCCACAGTCTGGGGACAAGCTATGGCCTCAAGCAATGGCTAACCATTCTGCCAAAACCAGAACACGTGTGCATCTTGCCCACAAAAAGCTGTGCTACTCTAGTGTGACAAGCCCCACCTGGACTCCCTGGGGTGGTCTGGAAAAGAACTCCCACCCCATTCTGTGAATTTTGCTTGAGATTTCAAGGAAGCATAATTTCAAGTGAGGAAGAGAACAAAACATGGTCCCAGCAACTCTGGCAAGGATTGTTTCCCACCTCGTCGGCATCAAAAGAAGCCTTGTGTACAAACAGGACACACACACACTACGCACGGGGAGAGAAGGACCATGCCTGCATACCCATGCACACACATGACATATCAAGTGGCAGTCAGAGATGCAGGGGCATGCTCAGGGGGCTGCCTTCGGGGGGTCCATGTAAGCCGGGTTGTAAGGAGGCTGGCTGGCAGAGTAGGGTGTGGCGGCACCTCCTGAAAAGAGAGGGGACACCGGTTGGCTGTGGGCACAGCGCCTGCGGTGTGAGGGGGCAGAAGCGGGAGCTTTGGGGGGTCAAGCAGGGTCAGAGTGGGCTGTGGTACTCACCAGCCAACGTCTCATGGTAGGCCGGAGGGCCCATGGGCTGGGCTGGGTAGGGTGGTGGGTACTGCGTCGGGTATGGTGCTGCAGGCATCCCTGGCTGGGGGGGCATGGGGTGGTAGCCCTGGTAGGTCGGTCCAGGGTAGCTGGGTGGCACACTTGGGGGCTGCGGGTAAGGGGCGTGCACCACAGTGGTGGCCGTGGTGGTGGTCACAACCGCTGCAAAGAGAATCCCAGTCAGGACCTCCGGGCTTGCCACCCCTCCCTCCAGCTCAGCCGAATCAGGGCCCTGGTCAGTTCCCTTTGCCACCCTGGGGTCTAAAACTGCACACAGGGGTCAGAGTGGGGTGGGCTGGGGGTGGGCATGCTTACGACGTGGTCGGCGGCACATCTTGTACAAGCAGCAGCAGGAGCAGGTGAAGCAGATGATAATGGTGACAACAGAGAGCACAAAGATGGTCAGGCCAACAGCTACAGTCGCCCCGAACCTGCCAAAGAGCCAGTCATGACCCGGGGCCTCTGCCCCTGCCCAGGACCAGCAGTCCACTCCCCATTCCCAGGGGGCACTCCTCTTGCCGGGAGACTTGGCAACACAAACAGCAACTTCTGGGTGAGTAGCTTGAACCTGTTTCAGCCTCAGTTTCCTCAAGCATAAAATGGGCTCTTTGTGAGTCTACATAAAGCACCGCACCTAGGGTCTGCCCCCCTTGTCCCACCCTCAGGAGCATGGGAGGGAGTTCTTCAAGTACCTCCCCACACACACACACATCTTGTCCACCCCCTCAACTGATGAGGGATGTTCACTGAAAACACGCCACAAGACAGGCACTGTGTGGTTTGAGCCAAAACCAGTGGTGGGCGGGACAGACCAAATCCTGGCTTCTGGAAGCCACAGTCCATTGTAGGAAGCAGATTTTGAAGGTAAAATGACTCAGGAAGCACAGGTGACGAAGACGGGGAGAAGTTCCAGGAGAGCGGAGGACAGCGGGGCCAGAACAGCGAGGAGAGGCACGTGGCAAACACAGCCCTTGCGCTGGCCGGCTCAAGCCCAGGCAGGGCTGCTGGCCCCAAGTGACAGGAGCCTGCGGGTGCACTGCGCCAGGTGCTCACATCCCTCCCTGGGCTCAACACTCCAACCGGCATGGCAGGTGGTGGACAGAGCCAGACGGATGGTCTGGAAGAGGAGGCCTCCCTGCCTGACGCAGGTGCCGCAGCAAGGACCACGACAGAATGGAGGGCCTGCCCTTTGAGAAAGCAGCCCTGGCGGGGAGTTCACCAAAGATGACTTTCAAGGGCAGGCAGAGCCCCTTGCTGGCCTCGCCTGCTCCCGGAGGCCAGGCTCTTTTCTAATAAAAGGTAAATGCTTGGTAACCGCACCAAGCACATTAAATCAGGGAAGGAGCCTGGTGAGCTGTGGGGCATCTGCCTCCCAAGGCCTCGCCCTGGGGGGAGGGGATTCCACCTCAGAGCCCAGCACCTAATCAGTGACACGCGACTGCAGGGCCATCACCATCACTCTTTTTCTCTCTCACTCTCATTTTGTCCATCTCTGTCTGTCTCTGTCTCTCTGTCTCTCTCTCTCTTGCTCTCACACACACACATAACACACACAGTATGGCGCCCAGGCTCACCCCATGTTAGCCTCTGCCTTCACTCAGGGGCCTCCTGCACCCCTGGACTTCCCCGCTTTCCACCATGGGCCACTCAGTTTCAATCTCCTCCCCTTTCTAGGAAAAGGAAAGCAAATTTCCTGGGCCCTCCCCTATCCCTGACGTCAGTGGCAAGAAAGACAGACACAGGCCCTCTTAAAGACACAGCGTGACCCAAGGCCCCAGCTGCTCCCAGCTGGGCTGGCAGCCTAGAGGGGCCAGGACTGGGGAGGGCCCAGGCACTCAGGCTGTCTTCCCAGAGCTGCCTCCCTAGCCTCGGCTGCCCAGGCCTGGCCCCTCATTGTGGCCTGTCCACCCGACTGTCAAGGATAGTGCTACCACAGGTCTGAGAGATGTCCCCGCCTCAGTGTGACTCAGTGTGCCCAACATGCCGCCGCTGGGCACTTTCAGCTCTCTAGGCCCACCAGCAGATCCTAGGGCCCTGGACAACATACAGCTCCTGCCAGCCCGTCCCCTCAGCTCCTCCTCTCCCACCAGCACACACTCCAAGCCACTAAGCTCCCTCTCCAATGTCAGGCAGATGCCTCCTCCAGTTCCCTTGGCTACCTGCCAGGTGCGATCATGTCACTCCCTGCTCAAAAGCCTACTATGGCTCCTGTAGCCCTTGGGATCACACAGGAATATGCTTGATCATTAACTTGTTAAACTCTTTGTGTATGTGTGTGTGTCTGTACTTTTCTGTGTATATATTATAGTTGACAATAAAAAAAAATCTAGGATTTTTCTCGTCAGATAGTAAAACATTGTATGTAATAAAGCAAATTTTAATCTTTAATTAAAAGTCCACATGAAATACAACTAGTTGTGTAGTCTGGGGCTCTGGCCACATTACCTTTTAGCTTTTTTTTTTTTTTTGAGGAAGATTAGCCCTGAGGTAACAGCTGCTGCCAATCCTCCTCTTTTTGCTGAGGAAGGCTGGCCCTGAGCTAACATGCGTGCCCATCTTCCTCTACTTTATATGTGGGACGCCTGCCACAGCACGACGTGCCAAGCAGTGCATAGGTCCATACCCAGGACGCAAACCAGCGAACTGAATCGTTGCGCCACCAGGCCGGTGCCGCCCCCTCCTTTCAGCTTTTGAAAGCACCATGCTGTGTCCTACCTGAGAGCCTTTGTACATGCAGTTTCTGCTGCCTGGTCTACCATTCCCTTCCTCCACCCCCACGTAATTAATTCTTGTACACCCTTCAGACCTCAGCTCAAAATATCACTTCCTCAGGGACTCCTTCCCTGACCATGCAGATGAGGTCAGGCTCCTTGATAAATGTTCTTACAGAACCAAGTTTCTGTCTGTCTCAGTTTGTAAACACACACTCCTTCGTGTGAGCATTTCATTAACGTGCATCTTGCCTCCAGCCTGTGGATTCATGGAGGCACAGACTGCACCTGCTTTGGGCCATCACTGTATCTCCAGCACCTGGCATCCAGTAGGTGCTCAATAAGTATGTGACGAATGAATAAATTCACTCAGGGACCCTGTGGGCAACACCTAGTAGGACAGCCAGGCATCACGCTCGGAGGAAGTGCAATCTTTGAGGGGTGGTTGCACAGTGTGGCAGGGGCCTGTGGGACGACGCCTCTGCGGGGAAGGACTACAGCTTCCCAAGGCTGGGGCTGCCTTGCAGATCAAGGAGCCCAAAGGCCAAGCTCCGAAAGCAGAGTCAGCCCAGGCAGGAGGGGACAGAAGACCAGGGGAGCAAGAGGACAGGCAGGGAGCTTGCGGTGGGGCTAAGTTGGGCAGCCCTCAGGAGGCCACAGATTCCCAATGTTCGGATGGTGAAATGGCCGCCTGCTGGACACCAGCACTCTCACCATGATGCTGACAAGGCAGCTTACCGCTCATGACACAGTGAGTGTGAGAGCTGCAGAAAGGACGCTGTGAGGACTGGAGCAGGCACAGGTTCGCCGAGCCCACGCCTCACTTAATGGACCTCCCTGCCTTTCCCCTGCACTGTCACAGCAGAGTCAGAGCAAAGGGTCAGCAGTGGCTTGCCTGGGGCCCACAGCCAGAGACTCTACCACTCAGGTGCTTAAAAACACGCCAGTCCCGGGGCCGGCCCAGTGGCGCAGCAGTTAGGTTCGCATGTTCTGCTTCAGCAGCCTGGGGTTCGCCAGTTCGGATCCTGGCTGCGGACATGGCACCGTTTGTCAAGCCATGCTATGGCAGGTGTCCCACATATAAAGTAGAGGAAGATGGGCATGGATGTTAGCTCAGGGTCAGTCTTGCTCAGCAAAAGGAAGAGGATTGGCAGCAGATGTTGGCTCAGGGCTAATCTCCCTCAAAAAAAAAAAAAAACAAAAACACGCTAGTCCTGCCTGACCATCCCGTGAGTGGCAACGAGCTGGGAAGGGACAATGAAATCAGGATCCAAAAGAACCACGACAGGGAACCAAAGAAGCTCTGGGAACACAGCCACAGAGCGTTCAACAGTGCAGGACAGGACTCACCTGCCAAACAGAGGGGGGAGGGGGTGAGGGGTGTGGCGCAGAACACCTGGGCCAACTTTGAGCCCACAGGTAACATGCCCAAAGTATGGGGAGCATGGTGCCCACATCGAGGGAAGACATCAGCTGTCCAGGTTGTGCCAGGCAGATGTGGACTCATCTGAATCCCTGTGCTCTGACCTGGTGCCTTGTTCCTGGGGAACCCAAGGAGTCACCCAGGAGAGCTGAGGGCAAGGGTCCAAGAATGAAGAGGAGGAGGGGTCAGTGGTGGGGGATTGGGGGCAGAACTGGTGTGGGTCCCCAGAGCATGGGGTCTTTCCCCTGTCGGGGCTTCCCTGAAGCTCCCAGACACAGCCCAGGCAGCAGGGGCTGCACCCATCAAGGAGCCAACACTCCAGTGGACAAACAACAGTGCCCTTGCCAAGGGGGCAGCACATACAGACCTCTCCTTGGGGCCCAGACAGGCGGTCACCTGAGAGCATTCACAGGAGAAGTGTCATTGGCGACCCTGTCCCCTTACCCTCCCAGCACCTGCTTCTCAAGCCCTCAACCTGTATAAGGCAGGTGCGGTACAAGAGGCTGGGGCTCCGCTCAGAGGGCAAAGAGGGAGAGACGGGGCAGGGAGGGGTGGGGGGCAAGTGGGAGGGGAGCATTACTCCAGTCATCTGTTCTTCCCAGTGCGTGGGCAGGATAGCCTGGGTGGGAGGCATGAGGAACGGAGCCGGAGCAGGGAGGCAGCAGGGCATGCCCACACTGCGCAGTGGTGTGCACAGCACAGCATGTGGTCAAGCTGACCAGACCTGGTTCTATGTGCACACCTCAGGGAGGGAGAGGTGCTCCTGAGCTGGCCCCAGTCACCTCCCTGCACTGCAGTCCCAGGAAGCCACTCCTCCTCCTATGCCCCTCGGGGAACCTTGTTCTGCATTGTCCCCACTCTCTGCTCTCCCAGCTCGTCTCCACCATTGCAAAAGAAGCTGTTCCTCCCCCTCATTCCTCCTGCAACTTCCATCTTACTCCTCACCCATTCATAGCAAATCTCTGCACAGAACTGTCTGCCACCACACCACCTCCACAGAGCTCATCTCACCATACACACTTCCAACTCACGCTTCAATCCACTCCACTGAACGGCTCCTGCCAAGGGCACCATGGCCTCCATGGTGTGGAACCCACATACCAAGCCAGCTTCCTGTCTCCTCCCACCTCTCTGAACCCAACCTCTCAGCTCCTCCTGCGCCCATTCTTCAAACACTGCTGACCCTAGATTTGGTCCTCAACACACTCATCCCGCCCAAACCCAAGCCCTTCACCACAAACTCACTCCCCATTCCGCATCCCTATACAGGGCTAGACCTCCGACACTGTCACCTGAGCAGAGACGAGAGCACCACCTAGCCCTTGTCACTCCCTCAGCCCCGTTCCTGGCAGGCAGCTGCTGAAGGCCCAGTCTCCAGCCTCACCTCACCCTGCCCAGCCCAGTCTCCCTCTGATCTCCCTCTGGTCCGACTACAGATCAAGATGCTATAGTTGCCACCTGCCACACCCTCCCTGCCTGCTCTTTTCATCCTCCATGGACCACCCAAAGTGGTCTTCTTCCTAAAACAGCAGACCCCAACACTGCCCATAACCCTCCACGGTGTCCACTGTCCTCAGGACCAGGCCTACTCCTGGGCACCTCCAGGCCCACACTGACTAGACATCAGAATATCCTATGAGGCCATCTGAAAACCCACAGTTCTGGGTCTCAGCAAAGGAGGGGTGCTCCCGGGATGTGGAGGGAGGGATGCTTCAAGGTCTCAGTCTCTAACCAGCCCAGGGGAAAGGGTCAGCCAGCAGAGCAGAGTGAGGAGGCCCAGCCCCGGGCACCGAGGAGGGCGCATGGGCTGCACTTCTTCCCCTCCCCCACTAACAGGAGCCCAGGAGTGAGGCCCCGTACCCACCCAGGCCCACAGGGCAGGATGGGGCAGGACAAGAACCCGGGCCCCAGACACAGGCCTGGAGTCCAAAGTCTCTTCCTCCAAAGGGGGAAGCAGGCAAAGGTGGAACTTCTACTGAGAGGGGCTTCTAGATCCACCAGGGCAGGGAGCAGACAGAACATAGAACAGACTCCACCAGGAAAACACATGCAAGCAGCTACATGCCCATTCCATCCACATGAAATGTTCGCCATGACATCTGCCATGGTGGCAACAAGACAGGGCAGGAACCTAGCCAAAGGGACTGGAGTTTGGGAGATTGGGCTGTTCCCTGGCCTCCTGAAAGGAGGGCCCAGACACAGTAACTGTGACCCACAAACGTTGACACAAGAACCGTGTATCATCAGTTGTCCCAGCATCTTTGCCCCACCATTATCACCCCATCACCATGCACCCTGCACCACCATCACCTCCATCACTGTCGCCATCGCCACCGTTGCCGCATCACCATCAACCTATCCCACAACCACTGCCCCCATCACCATCACCACCGTCGCCCTATCACCATATACTCAGCTCTGGAGCCCCCGTCACCCCATCCCTGCCACCTCTGCCTCATCACTATTGCCTTTTGCCACCGTCACCCCCATCACTGTCACTCCCTCCCCATCACCTACACCCATCAGTCACCTGTGCCTATCCCATCACCTAGGCCAACACGGAGCCTCACTCTCGGCCTTTCAAATCTCAACCTCCAACCACAGTCACCCTATCCCTAGCACAGTGATAAGGACACAATTTCCCAACATATGGATCAAGGGTCTTTGTGTCAGACATGGTGACAGCTTCTCTGGGGCCCCACCGCAGTAACTCTGTGCCATCCCAGTCCCCACAGGCCTCATCCTAGCCCACCTGAGCCCTCTTGTCACCTCTGCCAAGAAGATGCACCCAGCCTGCAGGTTTTATTTACCCTGACATGGGGTCGCTGTCCAAGCCGGAGCGAAACCTCAGTGGCGAGCCCAGCTGCTCCAGTGGCTCCATGTCGGTGGGCCCACTGCAAAGAGGAAACCTCATGATTAACACACCCAAGCCCCACCCAGCACCCCAGGAACAAACACTACCTTAACGCACACACAGAACATGCACAAAAGCCAACCCCATACACGCCAGAGAGGTAGCCCTGATGGCCTCCTCAGGACGGAGTTCACACACACTAGGATCTCAGGCTAAAGTGTCACATATTCTTCTCAACTGCACACGGGACGTTCTCCAGGACAGGCCACATGTGTGGCCACAAAACAATTCTCAATAGATTTTAAATGACAGCTACCATACAAAGCATCTTCTCTGAACACAATAGGATGAAGTCAGAAAGCAGTTACAGAAGACTACAATGCCAAAAGTTAAAAAAGAAAAAAGAAATGCTGAAAAAAGGTCATACCTTGGGAGACTAATTAACACGGCATTAAAAAGAAAAACTGTGTAGGTGCGGCAGCCCTGTGGTGTAGTGGTTAAGTTCAGCACACTCTGCTTCGGTGGCCCGAGTTCACGGGTTCAGATCCTGGGCACAGATCTACACTACTCATTAGCCATGCTGTGGCAGTGACCCACATACAAAATAGAGGAAGACTGGCACAGATATTAGCTCAGAGTGAATCTTCCTGAAGCAAAAAAAAAAAAAAAAAGAGGAGGATTGGCAACAGATATTAGCTCAGGGCAAATCTTTCTCAGCAAAAAAACCCAGGAAAAAAAAAAAACTGTGGGTTAAATAAGAAATCATAAAGTAAATTAAGAAATATGTAAAACTGAATGATAATGAAAATACTACAGGTCAAAATTCGTGAAACACAGCTAACGCAGTTCATAGAGAGAAATTCATTATCTTTAATAGTGAGATGGTATTGAACTCAGGAGGACGGAAAAAATAATAGGGCAAACCCAAAAAACAAGGAAAGAGTTAATAGAAGTAAGTGCAAAAGTAAAAGACAACGTGGCCAGGGGTTCACCGCTTCAGATCCCAGGTGCAGACATGGCACCACTTGGCAAGCCATGCTGTGGTAGGCATCCCACATATAAAGTAGAAGAAGATGGGCACGGATGTTAGCTCAGGGCCAGTCTTCCTCAGCAAAAAGAGGAGGATTGGTGGGAGATGTTAGCTCAGGGCTAATCTTCCTAAAAAAAAAAAAAAAAGAAAGAAAGAAAATAATAGAGAAGACAAACAAAACCAAAGCTAGTAGAACTCTGGCAAGACTAAGCCAGAAAATGAGAAAGGTACAGAAAGAGAAAAATACAAAATATAAAAGGGGAGAGGCCTGCCTCATGGCCTAGTGGTTAAGTTTGGCATGCTCTGCTTTGGTGACCCAGGTTTGGTTTCCCAGTGTGGACCTATACCACTCGTTGGCAGCCATGCTGTGGCAGCAACCCACATACAAAATAGAGGAGGCTTAGCAGAGATATTAGCTCATGGCAAATCTTCCTCAAGCAAAAAAAAACAAAAAAACAAAAACAAAACACAAAGAAAAAGAAAAAGGGAACTAACTATAGGTACAACAGTACCTATATTCTGATTCTGATTTGAACAAACCACCCATGAAAAGACATTTTTGAAACAAGTGGAGGTAACTGAAAACAGACAAGTATTGAAAGCTATTAATGAATTACTATTAATTGTGCCAAATGTGCTATGGATATAGTGGTTATATTTATTTTTAAAGGTCTCACTTGTACTCATAAAAACTAACTTTTAGGGGCCAGCCCAGTAGCATAGGGGCTAAGTTGGCACACTCTGCTTTGGCGGCCTGGGGTTTGCGGGTTCCGACCTCTGGTGTGGACCTCCACACCACTCATCAAGGCATGCTGTGGCAGCACCCCACATACAAAATAGAGGAATATTGGCACAGATGTTAGCTCAGCGACAATCTTCCTCAAGCAAAAAGAGGAAGATTGGCAACAGATGTTAGCTCAGGGCCAATCTTCCTTGCCAAGGAAAAATAAACTTCTAAGGAGAAATATGTATGATGTCTGGGATTTGTTTTATTTTTAAAGTAATCTAGAAAAAAAAGTGGTGGGAGGTATATGAACAACAGTGTCAGAGTGTTGATAACTATGGAAGCAGGTGATGGATATATGGAGATATTATATTATTCCCTCTACTTTTGTATTTATTTGAAAATTTCCAAAATTAAATGTAACATAAAATAAAATTTAAAAGTATTAGGAACAACTATACCCCAATAAATTTGAAGGACAACCAGTAAAGCTGAGGAGAAAATATTTTTTTAAAAAAATCAGTAGGCAGGCTTTGGCAAGTGCTGATATAGTGAAGAATACCAAGCTGGGATACAGTGGTGGCTGGCAAGAAAGATCCACGGAGGTGAGCCTGGCATCTGAGGGCTTTTTGCTCCTCTGGCATTAGCAAATTTCAGGGGACAGCTGAGAGGCTGAGCCAAACGCCGAAAGTCCCAGGTGATAGAGATCAGATGCAGAGCCCATCAGGTGGAGAGGCCCTGATGACTCCCCCTCACTTGGGCTGGGACCTGCAAAGCTGTGCCCCAAGAGGAAAGGAGAAGCTGAGCAGACAGCTTCTAACCATCTCAGTCTCTGCAGCTGGGCAAGGTGATCTTAGAGTGCTCCTGTTCTTGGAAAAGCAAACTAAATTCTCCCCAGAGGAAATCCTGAACTCCAAATTTCCACAATCACTTTTGCAAATACAACGTTAGGCACACAATCAAAAAATTTCAGGAACACTAGGACACTAGACAACATCAACAGAAAACAACAGAAACAACTGACAAGAGAAATATCCACAGGGGCTTCAAATGTTGAAGTTATCAGACACTGACATTAAAATAACATAACATGCACTGTTCAAAGAGATTAAAGAAAAGATTGAGCAAGTCAAGAAAGCTTGAAATATAAAAAGAAGAAACAAAAATTCTACAACTAAAAAGTAATACAACAAATTAATAATTTATTAGACACAGTTAAAGATATAATTAATGAACTGGAGGATGGGTCCAAACAAATATATATGGACTGAGACTCAGAGACACAAAAAGATGGTAAATGTAAATAAAGAAGACAGTAGGTGAAATACAAAATACAGTTTACAAAAGGTCTTCCCTGTGTGTAATTAGAGTCCTGAAAAGAGTCGAGTGAGAGAATGGGGCAGGAGTAATCTTTAAAGAGATAATGGCTGCAAATTTTCCAAAACTGATGAAAACAGCTGATTCAAACAATGATTCAAGAAGTACTGTGAACCCCATGCAGCAAAAACCCAATACAAAAAGAAAAAGCTTAAAAGCAGTCAGGGAAAAGACATGTTGCTTGCAAAGGAGCAGTAATAAAACTGTCAGCTGATTTCTCAACAGAAACAACAGGTATCAGAAGACAAGGAAATGAAAGCTTCAAAGTGCTGAAAGAAGTTTATAACTGCCAACCTAGAAATCAATATCCAGGAAAACTATCCTACAAGAAGGAAGGCAAAATAAAGACATTTTCAGACAAACAAAAACCGAGAAAATTTGACACCAGCATACCTGCATTAAAGGTAGAAGAAACGTGATCTCAGATGAAGCTGAAAGGTGCAGGAAGCACTAAGCAGCAGCAGAGAAGATCAATATATGGATAAATGTAAGTAAATAGTCACTGTCAAAAACAATTAAAATACGGTCTTTGGGGTTTACAATAGTGTTACAAGAGAGAAAGAGGGACATTATGTATGATAAAATGAGCAATTCATCAGAAAGTCAAAACAATCCTAAATATGTATGCAGCTAATAACAAAGCATCAGAATTCAAAAAGCAAATATTGACAGATATCTGTAGTCTCTCAGTAATTGATAAAACAAGCAGACAAAACCCAGCAAGGATAGAAAAGATCTAAACACTATTATCAACCAACTTGACCTAATTGACACTTATAAAACACTGCACTCAACAAATGCAGAATACACCTTCTTTTCAAGTACCTGTGAAATATTCACCACAGTACAGTATACGCTGGGTCATAAAATGAAATCGCGACAAACTTCAAAAGACTGAAATCTTAAAAGAAAACAACACGATGAGATATTACTACACAGCTACCAAAATTACTAAAATTAAAATTTTCTAGGAAATAACAATGATCTGTATCTTGACTGAAGTGTTATAGATGATGTATATATATGCTTCAAACTGAAACATTAAGTTCTGTGCATTTTACAGTATGTAATTATACCTCAAATTTAAAAAAAGATTTACAATATCAAATTTTGGAGAGGATGTAGCATAAACTGGAGCTGTCGTACACAGCTGGTAGGAGTGTAAATGGTACAACCATGTTTGGAAGTATCTGCCAAAGCTGAACAAATGCACGCAATGTCTCAGCAATTCCACTCCTAGATATTTACCCAGAAGAAATATATTCCTTTAAAAGGCACCAAAGATTTATAAAAGCCAGCCCTGGTGGTCTAGTGGTCAAGATTCGGCACACTGATCGCAAAAGCCAGGGTTCATTTCCTGGTCATGGAACCACACCACTCGTCTGCAGGTGTCATATTGTGGCAGCGGCTCATATAGAGAACTAAAAAACTAACAACTAGGATACACAACCATGTCCTGAAGCTTTAATAATAATAATAATGTTCCTCATGGGCCAGCCCCGTGGCTGAGTGGGTTAAGTTCACACGCTCTGCTTTGGCGGCCCAGGGTTTCGCCGGTTCGGATCCTGGGCGCAGACATGGCACTGCTCATCAGGCCACATTGAGGCAGCATCCCACATGCCACAACTAGAAGGACCCACAACTAAAATATACAACTATGTACTAGGGGGATTTGGGGAGAAAAAGCAGAAAATAATAATAATAATAATGTTTCTCTAAATCAATAATTAGAAAATGAAATTTTTAAACTATACTATTTATAGTACCACCAAAAAATCAAATACCTAGGAAAAATTACAATGAAAGATACATAAGGCTTTGACATAGAAAACTATAACACATAATTAAGAGCAAATGAAAGAAAATCTAAATACATAGACAGATATGCTGTATTGATGAACTGGAAAATTCAATATAGTAAAACATCAATTCTACAAAAATAGTCTATAAAGTCAACACAATCTAAGCTGGCTTTATTGACAAGCTGATTCGAAAATTTATATAGAAACACAAATGGTTAAAAATAACTAAGACAATCTTGAAGAAGAATATCAAACCTTACTATAAAGTTACAGTAACTACAAGTCTGTTTTAGCTCAAAGATAGACGAATGTAATGTAACAGAGAGCCCAGAGACAAATCCACGCATGTGTGGACACTCGATTTATAAAAAATTGGCACTGCAGAATGATAAAAAAGGATACCTTTCTCAATAAATGGTGCTGGGTCAATTGGATATCCCTATTTAAAAATGAAATTTGATTTCTACTTACATCTGCTACTAAACATATACTTAAAAGAAATGCATACACATGTGCATCAAAAGATACGTACAAGAATGCTCACAGCAGCATTATTTGTAATAGCCAAAAAATGGAAACAATCCAGATGTCCATCAACATTAGAATGGATAAAGTGTTGTATAAAACTTAACACCTTACACAGATGGAAATGAACAAACAGCACAATATGGATGAAATTCACATGTTGACAGAAAGAAACCAGACACAGAATAATAGGCAATATATGTATGATTTCATGTGTGTGTCTATAAATATAACAGGTGTGACAGGTTAATGGTTACCTCTGGGGATAACAGTGGGGATGCTGATTAGAAAGGAACATGATGGGGCTTCTGGGGTGCTATGATGTTCTATCTTGATCTGCTTAGGTGGTGGTTATGTGGACGTGTTTACTTTGTAATGATGCACTGAACTGTATACTTCAGATTTGTGTACTTCTTTTTTTTGAGGAAGATTAGCCCTGACCTAACTGCTGCCAATCCTCCTCTTTTTGCTGAGGGAGACTGGCCCTGAGCTAACATCCGTGCCCATCTTCCTCTACTTTATATGTGGGATGCCTACCACAGCATGGCTTGCCAAGCAGTACCATGTCTGCACCCAGGATCCGAACTGGCGAACCCCAGGCCGCCAAAGCAGAACGTGCGCACTTAACCGCTGTGCCACCGGGCCGGCCCCTAGATTTGTGTACTTTTATACATGCATGATATACATCAACTTAAGAAAATATATTTACTCCACCCCTCAAAAACAAACTAAACTATAGAATTTAGGGATGCATACTTGGGTATTACAACTTTAAAGAAAAGCAATGTTAAAAGTTAGAATTGGGGGGCTGGCCCCGTGGCCGAGTGGTTAAGTTCACGTGCTCTGCTTTGGCGGCCCAGGGTTTCACCAGTTTGAATCCTGGACACGGATGTGGCACCGCTCATCAGGCCATGCTGAGGCAGCATCCCACATGCCACAACTAGAAGGACCCACAACTATGTACTGGGGGGCTTTGGGAGAAAAAGGAAAAACAAAATCTTTAAAAAAAAAAAAAGTTAGAATTGTAGTTACCTTTGTAGGGTAGAGAAAAGACAGCGATTGGGAGTGAGCTCAGGGTGACTTCTGAGTTACTGGGAATGTCACATGTCTTGACCTGTGTGGTGGTTATGCAGATATTTGCTTTGTGATAAATCATGGAGTTATACATTTATTTTGTGCAGTCTTCTGTATGTGAATTATATTTGATAATACAGTATAACACTATAAAAAACAACCTCAACAGATGAGTTGAACAGCAGATTAGACACAGCTCAAGAAATAATTGAGCAAACTGAGAGGTTAGAAGACATTATCCAGAATGCAGCATAGACATGAAAATATGGAAGAGAGACTAGAACAAGGACACTGGAGTAAAATATGTGGCATATGTCTAATTGGAGTTCCAGAAGGAAAGGAGAATGAGGAAGGGCAATATTTAAAGAAGTAATGGCAGAGAATTTTCTAGAACTCATGAGAGACACTAAACCACAGATTTAAGAAGCTCAAAAACTTCATAGCAGCATAAATAAAAAGAAATCCATCTCTCGATACATCATAGCATAACTGAAGAATACCAAACACAAGAAAAAAATCTTAAAAAGTTGTCAGAAGGAAAAAAAAGACATCTTTTAAATGAGGGATAACTAACTATTGAGCTGATGTCTCAACAGAAATAATGGAAGCCAGAAGACAACATGCTAGGGGAAAATAATGACCAACTTAAGCTCTGTTCAGATAAATATTCTTTAAAAATGAGATCAACATAATTTATCATATCAACAGAATAAAAGTAGAAAAATCATCTGATCATCTCTACAAATGCTGGAAAAATATTTGACAAAATTCAAGATCCCTTCATGATTAAAACTCCAAGCAAACTAGGATTAGAAGGGAACTTTCTCAACCTGATGAAGGGACCTGTGGAAAGCTACAGCTAACATCATACCTTATGGTAAGTGCTTTCTACCTAAAATTGAGAACAAGACAGGGATGTCTGCTCTCACCACTTCAATTCAACAAGATACTAGAGGTTCTAGCCAGTGCAATGAGACAAGAAAAAGGAATAAAGGCATATAGAATGGAAAAGAAGAAGTAAACAGTAGAGAGAAAAAAAGGAATAAAAACAAACCAAAACAATATAGTAAGTGAAAAAGAAAGAAATACAGAATAGGAGAGAGAAATAAAAGCACAAAATAAGATGGCAAATACAATCCCAGAATACCAATTACATCAAATTTAAATGGAATAAATTCTCTTTTTTTAAAAAAAAGTTACCAGAATGGATTAAAAAACAAAAAAAGACAGTTGTAAAATACAAGGGCACCAAAAGGATGAAAGTAAAAGGGTGGGATATGATCCATCAGGAACCCTCAGGTATGGCTGGCAGTTATGCAGCCTGCTGTTGCCATTCCCAAGAGCACTTTGGAAGTCCTTAGTCAGTAACTAGGTGCATCTCTCTGATCTGGCAATTTGCTCCCATGTACACTTCCATGAAATTCTCACGTGGCTTGGTAAAAGGAGGTAGGAGGAAGTATAGGAGGATGTCCACCGCAGGTATCTATGATAGCAAGTTGTGGGCTCACAGCACAGAGAATGACACATCAGTGGTGGGCATGGGCCAGATGTACACACAGCAATGTGGATGGTTCTTACAAACACTGCACTGAATGCAAAAAGTAAGGGGGTTCACTGTGCCCACAAAACAATACAGACTTTGCAAGAACCCAATCAAACGGATATGGCAGACTGGTTGCTTATGGGGTGAGACGGGAACGGAAATGTCATGGGAGATTAAAATCAACATGGCGGGGAGGGAGGGGCTGGTCTTGCCCAGACCACTGATGGTCACCTGCAATGCACTGAGGAGGACGACCACCTCAACCCTACACCTGTGGCCAAAACAAAAGCAATACAGAATGTGGCAAAGGGAGACACACGCCAGGGCCTGGGACCCTCGTTCCAACCCATGAAACAGTCTAAAGCCAAGATGCAGTGTAAATCCATGGGCCACACCAAGAGGACACAGGCATGGCACACAGAGAGGCACACACCCATGCACTGTGCTCTCCGGGGCCACAGGATATCTCCACAGGATAGTACCTGCACAAAGCACATACAACCCCCCCAGGTACATGCACATCCTGTGGGGTACACTCACACCAAGGCACCCACCCTGAAGACATGCTGTACAAGTACACACCCAGGAGTGAGCCACAGGGCCAGCTGAGGCCACTGATCCCTGAGAAACCTGCTTAGCCCAAGGTTTGGTGAGCTGGAGCCCTTGAGGGTGTGGGAGAGAGGGGCAAGGGACTAACCAAGCAGGGTCTAGGGAGTCTAGCCCAGAACAGGTACCCCCCAACCCTGCTAGCCCACCACTCTACCACCATCTTGAGACGGCTGAGAGGCCAAAGGGGTGGGGCTATTTCCCTTCCATGCATGCTCCCGCTGGGGGCAGGCTTGGGCCACCCACCCTGTGACCACTGGTGTACCCACCTGGCCTCAGGAACAGCACACCGTTCCTCGTTCCACACAAATTTCTTCAGCACGTCAGAGCAGCAGTACTGGTCATAACAGGTGCCGCAGCAGAAATCAGGACAGAACTCGGGGAAAAGGCTGCGTCCACGGGAAGCCGTACACACCTCACCGTGGGCTGGAGCAGAGAAACATTTGTTCACAAGGCCAGGCCTCAGCCATGTCCCAGCCAACAGAGCCCCTTCCCCAGCACCGCCAGCAGGCACAAGCATGCTAGACCGTCTCTGAGCCATCCTAGTCATTGGCCACCTTGGGAGACTACCCCAATTAGCCTTGCCCTTCCCCTGGGCCACAGGAGAGGGACCCAACAGGGCTCCCTCTCTCCCCACCAGTCCGCTTGCCTCCTGATGGGAGAGCGAACTTTCTAAATGTGAGTCTGACTGGGCCACACTATCCCTGGTTCCCACTGCCTCAGGATCAAGTCCAGAGGCCACAAAGCAGGGTCCAGATTGTAAAGAGCTTTGAGGGTCACCCCAACATCCCAGCCCTATCCACACTCTGTCCATATTCGTGCCTGTTTCCCATCCTCCACCTTCAGATCTACTCATCCTTCAAGGCCTTACTACCGGCCCCCTCCTCCAGAAGCCACCCAAGCCCAGGAGTCACACAACTGACCAGTAACACCTCCGACCAGCTGCTGAGGACAAGGCACTGGGTCAGCTAGTTCTTAATCCTCATTCCCTCTCCCACCATCAGCCACAACAGCCTCAGTCCCCGCTGGACACCACGACTTCAGGGGCCGGCCCTCACAGACCACACCTTCACGGCAGGTCTCCTGAATAGTTCACCATCGGCCACAGTCACACCCACCACGTAAGTGTCCATGCAGCACTTAGCCCTGAGCTGGGCCTGCAGCAGGTGCCTAGGAAATATTTGTGCCCTCAGTGGCCAGGGCTCCGAGGCAATGGCACCATTTGAAGCCCCAGAACCATCACAAGGTTCTCAGCCACGGAGTTGGGATCTAAGGACATCCCCGCAGGCTGGGGTAAGGACAGAGCCTCAGTATATAAGGTCACGCTGAGGAGACCTGACTGACAAGTGTGGAAAATGACCCAGGGCTCCAGGTGACCACAAAGTTTGCAAACTTCCAGGAAGATGCTACAGCCAAATGTTCCCATGCATCTTTAGGCTACATTAGCAGAGATCTAGTGTCCATCAGCAGGAGGGGGCAGTCCTGGATTCTGCCTAGACAGACCCCAAATGGAACACCCAGTCCAGCAAGGCCCAGATGACTATGGTAGACTGGGGATAGGTCTGATGATAAACCCTGAGGTGTGGCTTTGTCACCTGGAAACAGTCACAGCACAGCACTCAGACTCTGGAGACCTAGCCTGGTCACTATATCCTCCACCCTGGGGCCATCGGCAGAGCCAGGCCCAAAGACAGAGGCATTGAGAGACCTCCTTGAGAAGAGAGAACTAGGAATGGGGTCGAGGGTGGGCGGATGTTTTGTTCTTGGCAGCTCCTGGTAGAACCCTGCTCTGGGCAAAGCTGTGGGGCAGAGAATCGGACCACCAACAGGTCCAACCCAGCCAGCTGTCCACCTGACAGCAGGTATGGTCAGCATGGCCCGTGCTACTGGGTAGCTCACGTGACCCAGTTCCAGCAGGGTCTTCATAGCCTTTACAGCCACAGTCCAGCCTAAGCCTCTAAGCTGAGGCTGAAGACATGCCGATGGCTCTGTTTGGGCCAAGAACCCATGACACAAATGTTCTTCTGACCCCCTGACACTCTGGACACGGCTCTCCAGACCTCACTGGACCAGGGACCAGAGCTCCACCATCTCACTTTCCTACCCCCAGATCCTCCAGATTCATGCCAGTCCCCACGAAACAAAGCTGTCCCCTCCTGGAAGCCACCCACCCTAGAAGGATCTTCAGCGTCCTAGCGCTGGGGCATGGGAGACTATTCTAATTCCCACTCCTAAAAGGCCCCAAGCCTGGCCTCTCCCACCTGTGAATCATCAGTCTACAATCAACACACACAGATAGTTGTGTTTCCTCCAACCCTGGAGGCCAGCCTCAGCCATCTCCTGGAACACAAGTGCCATGGAGGCAGCGGTGGGGGCTCCCAGCCAATAAACAGAGGCTGAGAGGGAAGGCCTCTGATGGAGGGGCCAGCCCTCCCAGCAGCCACTACACCCCCACACACCTCCCCACTAAGGCCAGGCAGAGAATCCTACCCCAGACTCCAGGGACCAACCCCTTGGAACATCAGAGGGAGGACAGCCCTAGGCAAACAATGGTGGCAGCTGCCTGAGGTCTGGACAGTGTCAGTTCAGACAGAGGGGTGCTGGGTGGAGGAGAGGTCAGTCGTGGGGTCACTGACTGCCTCAGGGTTATTAGGGGTCGGTGGGAGGCACTGTGGGGATGGCGCTGCCTGGGCTCGCTCCAGGGTCGGCGAGGACGTGGCTGACCCCCATCGCTGGCCGGGACAAAGTGCCCCCACCCCCAAAGGCTCACCACCCGGAGGCGGCGGTAGCAGCAACAGCACCAGTAACAGGATCCGTGGCGCGGGGGTCGGAGCAGCCATGGCTGGGCGGGTGGACGGACGGACAGACGGACGGAAGCACCAGGGTCCTGGTACAGCCGCAGCCTCAGCGACCCGCGCGGCCACCCGCTTCCTCGCCCCGCCCCGGCCGGTTCCCGGAACCCCGCCCGGGAAGGAGAGGAGAGGAGGAGGGCGAGGCGAGGGAGGGGAAGCGAACGCCCCTCCCAGCCTCCGGGCTAGACCCACGTCCGGTGCCTGCGCGAAAATTCGGACCCTGTTCTGGGACAGCGGCGGGCGACCGGCGATCAGCGGAGTTGCCTTCTGTTCTTGGGATACTTCCCGCCCCCCGTCCCTCAGTGCCCAACCCTCGGGCCGGAGAGGCTGTTCGCCGGAGTCTGCATCCTTGCACAAGCGCCTACTCTTGTGCTGCGGAGAAGCCGACACAGCCTCTCCCCGCGCCTCGGCTTCCTCATTTGCCCAGGGGACCTCACTCCTACCTAAGGACTAGATGAGGTGGCGCGGGGACAGTGCCCCCAGCAGACCTCAGCACACAGTAGATGCCCCAAAAATGCCGGGTTCCTTCTGGAAGCCTAGTGCAGAGTCTTCCGGGGACTCCAGCTCTAAGCATACTCTATCACCCTGCCCCCTGTGACACCTCTATCCCCCTGGTCATCCTACCCTCCAGTCCAGGTAGGCTCACCCCTGGCTCAAGGCAGACAGTGTGGTCTGAGGGTGGGAACTGGCAGCTCCCAGGCACACCAGGCAACCTCCTGGCTCAGGGGAGTGTGGCTGGCCCACCCTTGTCTGCTCCGCTAGCATGTGCTCTCACAAGACATCCTGAGATGGGGCAGTGGCTAACAGTGGCCCTGCCACTCATTGTAGAGCAGGGGTCTGGCAGAGCCCGGGGAAGGGAGTGGAGCACTGTCTTAGTCCGTTTGGGCAGCTATAACAAAACTTCATGGACTTGGTGGCTTATAAACAACAAACATTTAATTCTCACAGTTCAGACTGGGAAGTCCAAGATCAAGGTGCCAGAAGATTCTAGCTGATGAAGATTCTTCCTGGTTATAGATGACTGTCCTTTCCCTGTGTTCTCATGCGAGGGACCTCCCTGGGGCCTCTTTTATGAGGGCACCAGTCCCATTCTTGAGGACTCCAGCCTCATGATCTAATCACTTCCCAAAGGCCCCACCTCCTAATACCATCACCTTGGGTGGTAGGATTTCAACCTGCCACCTACCATGCACCTGGCACATTCAGTACGTTATACTCAACACAGTAAACACAAAATGTCACACTAACTAGGCACCTGAGCCGGTGTGTACACCCTATGTGCCACACGTTTCTCACGTGACTGCAGGGACATCAGTGTGACAAAGAATGAGACCTGAGGGTGATGAGGATTATTTTAGGCTGGTTACTTTTAAAAACTGTAGACGGGAAGGAGGCTCTGAGGAATAGAATGTCTCTTTGTTAAGAGACATTTACATTGTAAAGGAAATCTGGATCTGTAAAGGTGTCTCCCTCTCTGTACCAGGAAGAGGGGATGACCTTATCTCTAGAAACTCTTAATCAATGCCAAAGACAAGGACATAAATCTGCATCTTGTTTACTGTACTTGTGTGGTAATCTCCCATGATCGACTCCCCCTCCACCCCCAACATCCTCCTTTGTCTTTAGCTAAAAATAATATTTAGGTGGTGGCTTCTGCCATTTACTTAATCTGGTTTGATTCTTATCTAAAAATTAAAGGAGCACCCAATAACCAGACCCTACCTGCACTGATACCGTTTTAACAACTTTATTTTACATATTCTTTCCTTCATCTTGTAAAGAGATAACTCACATACCTATGCCTTAAATTTAGCCCTACTCTCAACCCATGTTTGCAGCAGTTCTTACTGCCCATAGGTCCTGTCCCCATGCTATTCCATACTATTCTCTAAATAAAAGAACACTACTGCCAGACCTTGAGAGTCCAAGAAATCTTTCTTTCGACTCCTCGGCTCACCGACCCCGCATGAAGGGGAGAACCCAGGTGCAGTTCCCCAGGCTGGAGTGTGAGAATACGGAAGGGAGGGCCTGGGTCCTCCCTAAGTCCCCGTCACCCCCTGGCTGGGAAGGGCACAAGGCTCAGCATGCTCCACACACAGGTGGAGGGAGAGGAATGACTCCCTAGGCAGGATGAGGGGCCCTCCATGACCCCGCCCTGCCTCATCCCACCCAGCTGCCTCTGCCCCTCAGCTCCACAGTCTGAAGTTGGACATAGCCCAGGTCCCCCTTCCCCATGCACAAAGGCCACCACGCATTCCCCTCCACACCTACCTCTCCAGCCATCCTCCAATCCCTGTTCTACACCCTGGATGCCCAGCCCTCTGCCTCCCACAAACTTGGTTTCTCTTCATAAACCAGTCCCTGCCCCCAGCCAAGCTCCTAAGAGTTGTTTCTCACCTCCTGTCACTGTCTGCGGCCTCTCTGCTCCGACACCCCCATCCCACTTCCTCCAGGGGCCTCTCTCCTGCCGTCATCCTCCCTGACCTTTTCTGCAGCAGACTCCCCCAAAGCCCCTCATCTGCCCATACCTCACAGACAACAGTGTGAAACCTTCAAGGTGGCGCATGGCGGGGCCTCCAGGAGGAACACCAGTAGCTTGGAAATTGTAGTCATGCATCCAACAGGGATGTGCCTGTGCCGGGAAGTGGGATTCCCTGTGAACCAGGCCTGTGAAGCCAGGAAAGGGTCACTCCCACAAGCTGCCTGAGGAAATGGGCCTGTCCAAGGCAGAAACCAAACTCCCTGTGCCAAATGTGGGGGTCTCAATAAGATTGAGAGGCTCAAGTCCATGCAGGGACACATGATCTGAGGACCCAGACCAGCTGGACTAGCTCAGCTAAAAAGGGCCAGGCCACAGGCGTGGGCTGGAGGGGCTGGCAGCTGGGGACTGTTGCACTCCGCCCCGCCACCTCAGTCAGCCTTTCTTATCAGGTCTCTCCCCACCACCCCTCCCTTTCATTCCAGCATGTGCCCTCCCCTCCTTAGAGGCAGACCCTACCTGAAATTCTGCTTCTTCCCCACCTGGCCTCCCTGAAAGGGCTCACATCTCATTGATGCGGGGTCGGTGAGCCGAGGAGTAGAAAGAAAGATTTCTTGGACTCTCAAGATCTGGCAGTAGGGCTCTTTTATTTAGAGAATAGTGTGGAATAGCATGGGGACAGGGCCCATGGGCAGTCAGAGCTGCTGCTGCTGCATGGGGACAGGGCCTATGGGCAGGCAGAGCCGCTGCTGCTGCCCTGAGTTGAGGGTTAGGGCTAATTTTATAAGGCATGGGTATGTGAGTCATCTCTTTACAAGACAAAGGAAAGAACATGAAAAAAAGTTAAAATGGTATCAGTGCAGGTGGGGTCTGGTCATTGGGTGATCCCATGACTTTTAGACAAGAATCAAATCGGATTAAGTAAAGGTTAGAAAGGTTAGAAGCCACCACCCTAAATCAGTTACATGAGATTGCCAGACAGCAACCAACTTAAGTTCTTGCCTTCCCCATTAAGAGTTTCTAGGGACAAGGTCATCTCCCTTCTTCTTCTTGGTACAGAGAGGGAGGCACCTTTTACAGAGAGAGATTTACCTTACAAATGTAAATGTGTCCCAACAAGGGCAAGTTCCACTCCTCAGAGCCTCCTTCCCTGTCCCAGTTTATCAAAAGCAATCAGCCCCAAACAATCCCGATGCCAAAGAGACATATCCTGGGGTGGCCAATTTCAGGTCCCTACAAGGTCATGCCCCCTTCCTGCACAAATGCAAATGTCTCTCAAAAGGGCAAGCAAAATTCCAATCCTCGGAGCCTGCTTCTCATCTGCAGTTTTAAAAGTAACCAGCGTAAAATCCTCATCATCATCTCAGGGCACAGCCCCCTACCTCCTGTCCCCTGTCCCAGGCCAGTGGCACTCCCCTATGTCCTCACCCTGTCGACGAAAATAATCCATAACCAATCTATAAATGAAAATTTGGGTGAGTTTATTCTGAGCTTAAATCTGAGGATTATAACCCGGGGCCTTTAAGGGCACCAAAGAAGAGGGGTGCACAGAGTGGTTATATACCCCCAGAGAGGACGTTTCACATAGGATTGAAATGTCCCTTTTACAATAGTCGCGAAACTGCTCTGTCAGCACAGCGATTGATGGAAACAGCAGGTGGGTCTTCTGTCTCAGTGAACACAGCAGGGTGGCAGTCTGTTGTCTCGAGCTGGGTGGTCAAAGGTGAGTGCAGCAATCAGTTCCTAGCCTAAGGAAAGATGCTTATCCCTAAGGAAATGCCAATGTGGGGGGAAGTTGCACCTTTATCTCAAGGGCCTCTGTTCTGGCCATAGGAAATGTCTAAGCAGATAGACAATGCGTGCTCAACAGCCACAGTCAGGCCCTTTTGGAAAAAACAAAGTCAGGCCGAATTAGGTTTATACCAAATGGCTTCCTCATATACTCCAATATATCCTATTGCTTGCCATTTCTATTTGTCACCCTCTCCCTCCACATTTCTGCCTCACGATGCCCCCTCAATGCCCCCTCCTCACTATGCTCACATGCTCACCACCCAGCAGAATCGCCAGGCACAGTGGGACCCCACCCTGAACTCCCTCACAGCACTCTTGGCCTCCGAGATTCTGAGCCCATCCAGCACTGTCCGTGTCCTGCGGACTCCCAGAGCTGAGTCTCCAAAGATCTCCTGGGCCTCCACAGGCAACTCGCTGGCCCCAAATCTGTGTCCCCATCTCCACCTGTTCACCCAGGCATGCTGCTCAACTCTCCCCACACGCCACCTCCAGAACATTTCTTTCACCCATTGACCCAGCTCTGGACCCCCTCCCTCCTGATGCGGGGTCGGTGAGCCGAGGAGTCGAAAGAAAGATTTCTTAGACTCTCAAGATCTGGCAGTAGTGCTCTTTTATTTAGAGAATAGTGTGGAATAGCATGGGGACAGGACCCATGGGCAGTCAGAGCTCCCGCTGCTGCCGCTTCTGCTGCCCCCGCTGGCATGGGGACAGAGCCCATGGGCAGGCAGAGCCACTGCTGCTGCCCCCGCTGGCATGGGGACAGGACCCATGGGCAGGCAGAGCTGGTGCGTGGGGACAGGACCCACGGGCAGTCAGAGCTCCTGCTGCT